AATTTTGTTTGTTTTTATTTGTAAGTATACTATATCCTTTCATTGTTATATATTGACAGAAAAAAAATACGTGGCTAGTGGCCATGAATCTATGATTCAAAATTTTTATACAAACCTGTACTTTGTATCCTAACAAATAACTTATGCATTACGATAAGCCTTGTAAGGCTAAGATCCCTGCATGCATGGAGGCTCATATAAATACTGACACCTGAGACAAAATATTAACGATAACAGAAAAAAAATACTATCATACAATATTTGAGGTAAAATTTGTCTTTTTAGTTAGTTAAATAAATCGATTAGTTACATGATATAAAAAATATAAGGCGCAGTAGTCACGTGATGATCACATGTGGGACCCGCGGTCTTACACGTGACTAAAGTGGTTTTCTATAGTTTGGATTTGTGTAGCAGTAAGCTTTGAAATTGTATTTGCTCCATAGGTTCTGATTCGTTTGATTTTATTTATTTCAATCTTTTGGAATAACTTGTAAATCTTTATGGCTCTTTGTGTTTTTTTTACGCAAATTATCCTTCGCATTTCCCGGAATAAAATGTTGTGTCATTTCATTATAAACCCGGTTCCTAGCAGTTTGATCACTAACCCCCCTCTCATTTTTCACAATATCATCGATTCTCTTCTCATATCCTTTCCCATAATGGTACCAACATGAAATTTCCTCTTGATTTGCCTTCATCACACGTGTTTCTGCGCTACATGCTTTTTGGTATAAACGAACTAAATTTTTTGATATAGAATTCTCAGAACCTTTTACAAAATCATCATTAATTTCGGCAGACTCCCCCTTAATGGGCGTAGATAATTCCTTCAACAAACCTTGCAATGTATCCTGCTCACAGGAAATTTTTGGAGACAATTGTCTTAATTGGGTTTGTGTGTGACTTTCAGTGTTTTCATCTGGAGAGGTTTGACCTTCTGACCGAACTTGTGAAGTGACAATAGTATTTCTTTCATCTGTAATAGAGCTTCTCGCCTGGTCTTGCATGGAAGGTTTATCTACCTGTTTCTCTTGACCTGCAATAGGTCTATCATCCTCAACTAACCCCAATTCCCTTATATACTTCAAAGCATTATAATCATTCTCTATAGTATCTGTACTTACCTGTGATGCTTTGTTTACAGAGTCATAGTCTTTGCATACTAGATGGAATTCACCAGAAGCATGTGCAAATTCTTCTCTAATTGTTTCAATAAATTCGGGGCAAACTGGGCATTTGGGGCTTCGTGATTTTGTGCGTATAATATATTTTTCAAGGCAGGTTTGGTGGAATATATGATCACAAGATAATATTGTGAATGCTTGGGGTGGGTGTGTTAGAATTTCTCCTTTGCAAATATGATATAGATTTAGCTTTGGAATATTCTTAGCATCAGGAATTTCAGATATATTTCCATTTCTTAGGTAATTTAATAAAAGCACTTTGAGTTGGGAAGCATTAACATTGTCTGTATGATCATCTGTTGAACTTGGCAAAGTTTCGCTAGTCATATCAGTAAATTTGAATAGGAGTTAATTGTTAAAACTTTGAAAGCTAAGTATTTTTCATTTTATATGTAGACACTTTCACGACTAAAAAAAAATAATTTACAAATTTTATAAAAACCAATTTCAGATTTGACAATCTGTTTATTCAAGAATTATTTAGTATAAACCAAGAACTGATCGATCTACTGGCAATCGTAAACGAGTTACATATTACCAATTTACAAACTAATTTCGGATTTGGTAATCTGTTCATTCACGAATTATTTAGTATGGACTAGGATCACTCAATCTACTAGCAATCGTGAACGATTTACAAATTAGTAATATGTTAACCGAATGAAATAAAGCAATGATAATTCGATTTGGACAGAAAAACTGGGACCACTCAATCTACTGGCAATTCTCAAGTTTATTAGCATTTTGATAATACTGATTTTGGGCACGTTTCATTAATGTGCTACCTGGTTGATAAAGCCATTTCCTCACTGTGCGCTGGATTATTTTAGCTGAATTTATTCGTTTTTTCCATAAACAATATGCTCGCTAGATGATAATAGCCGGTCGAGTTTTTATATACAAAGTTTTAAAATATGCTACTTAGGTTTTAAATTCTCTAAATTCAGAGTTATTAGCTATATATTCTCTTCTGGTTAAATTATTTTTAATACGGAATACAAAGTTTCTCCAATAGTTCTTACCTTTTATTTCATGTCCTGGTATAAATAAACGTCTACGTATATATTCGGGCGGATAATACTTTGCAAATCGTAACCAAGCTTCTGGTGTTTTTAAATTACTAATATATTTTAAGCCATATTCAGATAACATTTATCGGGTATAACTATTTTTTTCCCATTCTTCAAAAATATCTTGAATATTGAATGGGTTGTATGAATGCATTATAGACGTTTAGTCTTATTATCATTAGAAAAAGTTCAATTAAAAAAAATATGCTCCAGAATAAAAAAATATCTTAACTTTCCTGATCATTGTTGAGCTAATCCTATTCAAATATGAGTTTTATTTTAGGGTTTAAGGTTTGGAAATCAGCTTTTCTAATCCGTTTACATTCACTAATTTCTATATTTTCTAAACTAGGACCCAGTTTTGGAATTTTTGTAATTGTTTTCGGGCTTAAGCGTCTGGAGCCTCTTATTGTGAGTGATTTTAAATTAGAACACTCGACTAAAAGTGCTTCTAAATTTTTATTGTTAAGTATACGCGACCTACAATTTTCAAAACTTGCTATTGTAAATTTGGGCATGCTTTACATACTTCGGAAATATAAATGTTAGGCTCTATATTTATCTCTCCAATAAATTTTAGTCCTAGCACTTGTTCACATACGACTGGTTTCATATTTTTGCTTAATATCTTAGTGAACTTAATTCCGGATATACCTGTTAAAACTATTCTTTGCCATATTAACCTGCTAACAATATAATACTATTGCTTATTAACTAATAAAAGAGGATGCAATTTCTCGCCCTCATTCTTTCTATGATAATGGAAAATTCTATCTAGAATCTCATTTGGTAAAGGTAAGTAATAGATGGAGGACTTTTCTGATTTTGTAGATACTGGAGGAATTATTTCTTCAAAGTCGACCCACTTTAAATTTATCATATTTTTTATCGACACGACGCCTGTTTTTACGATTTTTTGCTCTCTTCTTCCACCTGCATATTCTATTCCAAGCATCTGATCAGTAGCTTTGCCCGAAATAATATATCCATCTGTATGAATTCTCTTTATATGCTCACCTAATAATCTAATTTTTTCTGATATAATTTTACGTCCTTTTGCTAAAATAAATGGTGCTATACGTCAATGTGGACCTGGTCTTCTCCCATCTGTATACAATCGCCCCCAAAGAGATACTAACATATATTTTGCAACTTTTCCTGCTAGTCCGCCTTTATTCTTAATTGCTGAAAGGTAACTTGCCCATTAATAGAAAGTATTATGCCCGCTCCTAAGCTGATCTTGTCCAAATATTAAAGCATTAGGACTTTTAGAGGATAATTCTATGTGAAGACCTAGGTTTTTTGCTAATTGCAAGTCATAATGAGTATAATATCCTGTGGGATTATAGCAGAATGTTTTTGTGCATTTATGGTCTACTGGCTGGCCTTCTATATTCGCACAATAAATTCCATATTCCAGATTATAGCTAATAGGATCCATGCTAATATGAGAGAATGTTCTAAACTCACCTGGTCCTATTGGCCAAAAAGCTCTACTATGAGCTAAGATGTTCGGATAATATTCATTGAAATCTAATTCGGTTGCAATTCCTTCATATGGCTCAGCCCACACTAAACCTCCCATATAGGCTGATTTTATTCATTTGTCTTCTTCTTCCAATAAGACTTCAGCTCTTTTAGGTCCTCTAGTTACATCTTGAAAGAAATGTAAACTTGCTATAGCGTAAGTTCCAGTTGCTCATAAGTTTATTTGCCCATCACTTTGCCATAAGATTGTATCAGCTTTATTATTATAACGTTTATGTGCTTCTTGAAGAGTTTCATTTGAATTGGCTTTGATTAAAAACCAATCTCATGATAAATCACAAAAATCATTTTCAGAACCAACCCATTGTGTAGAACCATCATAAAATTCGATATGATTTCCCTGCCTTCTTCAGAATAGAAATCTTCAAATAGCTGAGTACTATCTTGTGTCAATATTTTGGTAGGCTAAAGCGGTCACATAGTCGCTTTCTCCCTCCTCATCCTCTTCTGGTACTGGTGGCTTGGAAGGTTTAGGTAACTCAGGTGGCATCGGGTCTCCCCAGCTTGGTAAGAGATTTTCGAACAATCGTCCCAATGCACCGGTGATAGTACTAAGTATTCCGCTCATTTTTTCCTAAAGATTAAATATGGTTACAAAAAAGTTTAAAATAAAAATTAATTTATTCGGATAATTATAGTTATATATTTATTCAAAAGAACAAACTAGTATGGGATTTTATAAATGTTCATATATTCTTAGGTCTGGAGAAGTATGCAATAAGGGGTGCTATCAAGTAGAAGGGTGTAAAGTTCATTGGAAATCTCCTAACCGAGTTCCCTATATAGAATGCGAAAAATTAACTTTCTCTATTTATAGTGCTTGTAGGAAACATGCAGGTAAATATCGCATTCGAGATTTTTATCAGCGTCAAAAACTTGCAAAAATTCAGGCTAGTAAAGAATTAATGATGAGCTAGTAATGGGCAGTGCTGGAGATGTTCTGGGAATATTCCCGGGACCCAATATGTATGTATTTATATTACAATTTTTTTATCTGAAGGTAACCCTATTTGCCTTATAATATAAGCATTTATTATATATTTTATGGTATGTTTACATGTACTTCGCTTCACTTCACACAAAGGCTCTGCTATGCTTTGCCTATAGTAAACCATGTATTGCTTACATGACTTGTTTACCTGTGCTTCGCACAAAGGTTTTGCTATGCTCTGCCTATGGTAAA